AGCAGCAGCAGCACGGACTTTGACTACCCAGTGGGAGACTCCTTGGGTCTTGTGGAGGCCCCTGGGGCCCCCGGGGGCCCCACCAGGGGCCCCCTGCTGCTGCGCTCGTTTCGCTTTGTTGTCTCCGATCGCCTGAAGCTGCAGGGGCCCCCCCCTGCTCGTTGTGTCTCCTATTTGCCTCTACCCCCTCTGGAGTCTGCTGTTGCTGCTATCAGTCATGCACAGCAGCAGCAGCAGCAGCAGCAGCAGCATGAGCAGCAGCAGCAGCAGCAGCAACTCGCCCTAGAAGCATTCTGCTGCACCTCAGGCTGCAGCCGCTTCCTCATTGCTGGGGGCCTCTGGCCCTATGGGGCCCTGGGGGCCCTGCAGCGCGCTGTCCCCTCGCGTCCCCTGGTTGCTGTCTCCGTATCCGAGGGTACACCGAGGATCGTGTGGGCCCTGCAGCAGCAGCAGCAGCAGCAGCAGCAGCAGCAGCAGCAGGAGCAGCAGCAGCAGCAGCTGCTTCTGGTCAGCAGCGACCCAAGGATGGGCCTGGGGGAGACACGTTTGGTGTCTCTACGCAGCGGGGCCCTCGTGGATATAACAGCAGCAGCAGCAGAAGCAGCAGCAGCAGCAGCAGCAGCAGGAGCTGAGCTAAGCTCCGCAGACACCCCAGGTGCTGCACTGTCGCTAGACAGCCCCACTCTCTTTGCTGCTTCTCTCTTGGGGGGCCTCCTGCTGCTGCAGCTGACAGCAGAGGAGCTGCGCGTGATGGGGCCCCTGGGCTCCTCTCTCCTGTGCCCCCCAATCGATATGACGGAGGCACCCGTGCAGCAGCAGCAGCAGCAGCAGCAGCAGCAACTGGAGCAGCGGGAGCAGCAACTAGAGCAGCAGCAGGAACAGCAACTAGAACAGCAGCTACAGCAGCAGCAGCAGCAGCAGGAGGAGGGACAAGAGGGGCAAGGGGAGCGAGAGCTGCTCGAAGAGGAGCAGCTGCTGCAGCAGCTTGAGCAGCAGGAGGAGGATGAGGAAGAGCAGCAGCAGCAGCAGCAGCAGCAGCAGGGTGAGAGCAACAGCAGCAACAACGAGACAGCAGCAGAAGAGACAGATTCACAACGTGTTGTCTCCTCTGTGTCTATGGAGATAGATGAGGAGACAAACGGGGACACATTGCCTCTCTCCCCTGCAGCAGCAGCNCCTCTGTGTCTATGGAGATAGATGAGGAGACAAACGGGGACACATTGCCTCTCTCCCCTGCAGCAGCAGCAGCAGCAGCAGCAGCAGCAGCAGGAGCAGCAGGAGCAGCAGAAGGGACAGAAGAGACAGCAGCAGAAGACATGTCTCCGTATATGGAGACTGGCTGGGCTGCAGCAGCAGGGGGCCCCCAGGGCAGCTTTGCTGCTGCAGTCAGAGGCAGCGCAGCAGCAGATTGGGTGTGTGCTGTTCTGGATGACTTCCGTCTGCGTCTGTGGCGAATAGACCTTGCTGCTGCAGGAGGTTCCTTCGTCTGCGATGCCTTGCTGCATGCGGGGACAGGTGAAGAGCGCTCAGCTGT